TGGCCAAATCGGTAAAAGCACGTCAAGCTAAGTGACGGTTCCGTGTGGGATACAGTTTCAGATCCTGTCGGAGGATGAATATTTTCTGAAAAAACTCATAGAGAGAAAAATAGAGAAGGAAGTTAAGAGAGAAGAGAAGATGTCAAATTTTGTTTGGAAGTAAAGTCTGATGATCCGCAGTCCTTTTAAAAGGGCTGTGGTGAAATAATTTATTACATGGAACCTTAAAGTGGTTGGTTCTTATTTAAATTATTTCCTCTGGATTTACATTGAGCTCTCTGTATTTTATTCTCTTTAGGTTTACCCATACGGATTACCTAGTTTTTCATAAACTATATATATATATATATATATATATATATATATATATATATATATAGCTACTGTTTAAAACTAAGTATTCGTAAATCCAGTATTTATTAACAGCGTATTCTTAAAGCCTATATTCTTGAACACCGTAATCTTGAATTCTGTTTTTTTTTATTTCTCTATTCTTGAACACTGCATTCTTGAACACAGTATTCTTGATCTGCAAATTCTCGAATTCTGTATACTTGAACTCAATATTCTTGAATCCCGTATTCAGTAACCCTGTATTCTGTAACCCTGTAATCTTGAACCCCGTATTCTTGATCTCCGTATTACTGAGCGCCGTATTCTTGAAACCCGTATTCTTGAAACCCGTATTCTTGTACTCTGTATTCTTGAATTCCGTATTCTTGAGCCTTGTATTCTTGAAACCCGTATTCTTGAGCCTTGTATTCTTGAAACCCGTATTCTTGTACTCTGTATTCTTGAATTCCGTATTCTTGAACTCCGTATTCTTGAGCCTTGTATTCTTGAGCTCCGTATTCTTGAACACAGTATTTTGATCAACGTATTTTTGAGCCCCGTATTCTTAAACTTTGAATACTTGAACATAGTATTCTTGATCTCCGTATTCTAGATTTCTGTATTCTTGAACCCAATATTCTGAATTCCGTATTCTTGAGCCCTGTATTCTGTAACCCTCTATTCTTGAACCCAGTATTTTGATCAACGTATTTTTGAGCCCCGTATTCTTCAACTCGGTATTCTTGAATACCGTATTCTTGAACGATAGTATACTTGATGTCCATATTCTAGAATTCTGTATTCTTGAAACCAGTATTCTTGTACTCCGTATTCTTGAACTCCGTATTCTTGAGCCTTGTATTCTTTAACTCTCGATTCTTGAACCCAGTATTTTGTTCAACATATTTTTGAGCCCCGTATTCTTAAACTCGGTATTCTTGAATTCCGTATTCTTGACACCAGTATTCTTGAACTCTGTATTCTTGAGCCCTGTATTCTGTAGCCCTCTATTCTTGAACCCAGTATTTTCATCTCCGTATATTTGAACCCAGTATTTTTGAACTGATTATTCTTAAAATCCGTATTATTGAATCCCATATTTTTGAACACAATATTCTTAGTCCCCGTATTTTTAACTCTGTATTCTCGAATAAAGTATCCTTGAATAAAGTATTCCTGAATAAAGAAATCTTGAAACCCGTACACTTGAACAAGTATCTTTAAAGCCTGTATTCTAGAACACGCATTCTTGAACCCTGTTTTCTATAAAACTGCATTCTTGAATCCAGTATTATTGATCTTATTATTAAGAACCGTATTCTTGAATTCCGTATTCTTGAATCCAGTACTCTTAAAATCCGTAATATAGAGACCCTTATTCTTGAACCCAGTATTCTTGATATCCGTATTATTGAACCAATAATTCTTGAACCCAGTATTCTTGATATCCGTATTATTGAGCCTGGTATTTTTGAACCCAGTATTCTAGATATCCATATTATTGAGCACCGTATTCTCGAACGCTGTATTTTTGATATCCGTATTATTGATCCCCGCATTCTTGAACACAGTATTCTTGATATCCGTATTATTGAACCACGTATTCTTGAACCCAGTATTCTAGACATCCGTATTATTGAGCCCCGTATTTTTGAACCCAGTATTCTTGATATCCATATTATTGAGCCTCGTATTTTTGAACCCTGTAATCTTGATAAACGTATTACTGAGCCCCGTATTCTTGAACACACTATTCTTGATATCCGTATCACTGAGCCCCGTATTCTTGAACACAGTATTCTTGATATCCGTATTACTGAGCCCCGTATTCTTGAACACAGTATTCTTGATATCCGTATTACTGAGCCCCGTATTCTTGAACCCAGTATTCTCGATATCCGTATTACTGAGCCCCGTATTCTTGAATCCAGTATTTTTTATATCCGTATTACTGAGCCCCGTATTCTTGAACCCAGTATTCTCGATATCCGTATTACTGAGCCCCGTATTCTTGAATCCAGTATTCTCGATATCCGTATTACTGAGCCCCGTATTCTTGAATCCAGGATTTTTTATATCCGTATTACTGAGCCCAGTATTCTTGAACACAGTATTCTCGATATCCGTATTACTGAGCCCCGTATTCTTGAACCCAGTATTCTCGATATCCGTATTACTGAGCCCCGTATTCTTGAATCCAGTATTTTTTATATCCGTATTACTGAGTATTCTTGAACCCAGTATTCCGACATCCGTATTACTGAGCCCCGTATTCTTGAATCCAGTATTTTGATATCCGTATTACTCCCCCGTATTCTTGAATCCAGTATTTTTATATCCGTATTACTGAGCCCCGTATTCTTGAACCCAGTATTCTCGATATCCGTATTACTGAGCGCCGTATTCTTGAATCCAGTATTCTCGATATCCGTATTACTGAGCCCCGTATTCTTGAATCCAGTATTTTTTATATCCGTATTACTGAGCCCCGTATTCTTGAACCCAGTATTCTCGATATCCGTATTACTGAGCCCCGTAATTATGAATCCAGTATTTTTTATATCCGTATTACTGAGCCCCGTATTCTTGAATCCAGTATTCTTGATATCCGTATTACTGAGCCCCGTATTCTTTGACACAGTATTTTTTATATCCGTATTACTGAGCCCCGAATTCTTGAACCCAGTATTCTCGATATCCGTATTACTGAGCCCCGTATTCTTGAAACCTGTATTCTTGATATCCGTATTACTGAGCCCCGTATTCTTGAACCCAGTATTCTTGATATCCGTATTACTGAGCCCCGTATTCTTGAACACAATATTCTCGATATCCGTATTACTGAGCCCCGTATTCTTGAACCCAGTGTCTCGATATCCGTATTACTGAGCCCCGTATTCTTGAAAACTGTATTCTTGAAATCCGTATTACTGAGCCGCGTATTCTTGAACACAGTATTCTCGATATCCGTATTACTGAGCCCCGTATTCTTGAACACAGTATTCTTGATATCCGTATTACTGAGCCCCGTATTCTTGAACACAGTATTCTCGATATCCGTATTACTGAGCGCCGTATTCTTGAACATAGTATTCTTGATATACGTATCACTGATCCCCGTATTCTTGAACACAGTATTCTTGATATCCGTATCACTGAGCCCAGTATTCTTGAACACAGTATTTTTTATATCCGTATTACTGAGTCCCGTATTCTTGAACACAGTATTCTCGATATCCGTATTACTGAGCCCCGTATTCTTGAACACAGTATTCTTGATATCCGTATCACTGAGCCCCGTATTCTTGAACCCTGTATTCTTGATATCCGTATTACTGAGCCCCGTATTCTTGAATCCAGTATTCTTGCTATCCGTATTCTTCAGACTCGTACTCTTCAACAGCAATCTTCGAAGCCTGTATTCTTGAACCCTTCCTGAACGCATATGAAAAAACATTACACGTCATCTCACGTTGTCGCTACATCTTGCAAACATCAATCACCGATTTCTTCTGCACTAGATTTAACTTTTAAACAAATTATAACGACTCCTTTTCAAATAATGCGCTACTTTAAATATGTTTGCTTTCTTTCCTTCTCATTCCTTACACACACTTCTGTCGATGACTCATAGGAGTCGTAAAGTTGGACCTAATGCAAATCTCGGAAAGAGCAACATTTGCAAAGAGTTATTTACATTTTTAGAATAATATCAACAATAAATTTAAAAGATATCAAATGTTGGTTCTTTGTAACAAATGTTGTTTGAAGAAAAAATACTGCCAAAATATACTGTATACATACAGTAGCGGCCATAATATAAGGAACGGAAACAAGAAAGACATATATATGTGTAGTACTTAAAAAGTAATGCATGATTAGCAATGAAATTTTTAACAAATAAAGATTAGGGTGTAATGCATAAATATTATACAAAGTTACACAAATTTATATAATAGATTTTTTTTTAAAATAAAGATTAAATGGAACAAAGGAAATAAGCTACTGGACAAAAGTTAAGGAACGATGTTAATAATTTGCATAAACTTTCAATTTACATTGTTAAAAAACTCGATGGAGCTTTTCAACAATAAGTAAAAGTTCATTTCTCATTAGGACTTTATTTTTAAGCAATATGGCAAATTCTACACGAGATACAGTTCTTTTCAGTGACCAGTCCAAGTTTACTATATTTGAGGGCAAAACTTACGTACGCCGTAGAACAGGTGAAAAACTGTCTTCTCAATGTGTCAAGAAAACCGTTAAGTTTGGTGGTGGCAGTGTGATGGTGTGGGGAATGATTAATTGGAGAAAGGGCTCAGAAAAGAAACCCGAAAAACCAGGATCACCTATGGGAGTTATGGAAAGGCGAATGGGAGGGGTTTACTGCTGATTTTTGCAAGAAATTAATTAGATCATGTGGTCGACGATACAGAGAAGTCATTGAAAATAAGTGTATGTTTACCAAATATTACATTTTGATGATATCTTGTTCAAAATCAAGTATTAACAAGATCGTTCTTTAACTTTTCTCCAGTAGCTTATTTACTTTGTTCCATTTAATCTTTATTTTAAAAAAAAATGATTATGTAAATTTTTGTAACTTTGTATAATATTTATGCATTACACCCTAATCTTTATTCGGTAAAAATTTCATTGTTAATCATGCATTACTTTTTTATGGAATACACATATTTATGTCTTTGTTGTTTCCGTTCCTTATATTATGGCCGCTACTGTAGAGGGTGCAGCAGATATACCTCCCAGAAATACCGCCTACATAATGGTAAGATATTAGAGGCAAAGGTGCCATCATCTACCTAATGTCTATTATTTGAGAGATAATTCTGCCGCACCTGTATATATATATATATATATATATATATATATATATATATATATATATATATGTGTGTGTAAATGTAATATCCTAAAATTATATATATATATACTAGCAGCATGGCCCGGCGTTGCCCTCCTTGATTCAAAAATCATACGACTCATACAGCAATCGCTATCACTTGACTTAAAATATTTTTGCCCTTCCTTGTCTTTAAAGGAGTGCTCTTTGCCGTGCTGATGTTGCTACATGCCTTACTTCTTGCCTATCTCACACTGCGAATTTTTTCTAAGCTCTATATTAAACATTAAATCTGTTCCGAAAAAAGAACTAAACAAAAGGAACACAAAACGATCAGCTTTAAAAAAGAACTCGTAACTGGAAAAACCGAATGAAAAAAGAATGTTAACAACAAATACTTTTTAACACCCAACCCAGTTCTGTGGGATCAGAATCAACGTTGAGTTTAAGCAAGCGAATGAATTGGAGTAAAGTGCTATGCAGATTTAAATTTTTCCCACTTGTGACGAATACAGCTATCGTTTTTTTTTTGTTTTTTTGGCATGCTAGCATGCTAGTTAACATTCGTGTCAGTCAGCTGTTGTCTCTCACGCTGGTTAATAGAATCTTCCTGACTATACGTGGCAGCCAGCTATATCGTGTTTCGATCCGTATCAATGCATCTCATTAGACGATTGTAAATTACTGGCTTGTGAACGTACGCATCGAAACTTTTTTTTTAATTTTACATATAATGCAACACCCTTTTAAAATGAAATATTATTGATCTGATTCTATGGCATTCTAAAAGGCAATGAAGACAATATGTGAGAGTCTGTACCACGATATCTCATTCGTTATGTAAAAGACTTGACAAGAAGCTCCTAATTAAAACAGTTGATGCGTACAAACAAGGTTATGGATATACAACACTTTCCAAGTTTTTAAATGTCCCTTGTTCGACAATTCGTAGCATTATCAAGAAGTACAACGAGACTCATTGTCTTGAGAATAAACTAACGACTGGCAGAAAACGGTTAATTTCTGAGAGAAGGGAAAAGAAAATTGTTAGAGATGTCTCGTAGAATCCTCACGTAACGACAAAGGACATTGTCAATTATGTGAAATCATCAGGGTTGAATGTATCGACGAAGACAGTCAATAGAGGTTTCATCGAACAGAACTTCGAAATTGTCGAGGGAACATCCATTTGTGATTGGAGACAGTCTAGGGTTCGATCGGCGATGGTGGAATTTAAGTTTGGTTTTCGATGTATTGAAGTTAACCATCCAGTTTTATCCCTCTAGATCAGAGGGGAGACAAGCTGCCGAACTCTGGTTGTGTAGATTTTTGGAGATGAACCCATATACATCAACAAAGGGGTTTACAGCAAGGAAACGGCATGCTACCTCCTCGGAATCAAATCACCCTCATTTCCCCTGCATTCCAAATTTAAGGAGAAAGTTCAGCTCAGAGAATTTTATCCGAAACTGCTACTTTGTGGAATATGCTTCAACGGGTTTATTTCCTACGAAACTACAATCTTAATCTCCAAGTCAAAGGTCAAACGCTACCTATACTCATAATCTTCTGTTCCTACCACCTTTTTTTCTATTCATATCATACAGCTTTTTCATTGTAACTGTTTTAACAGCAACTAGCTTTATGTGAAATATAGTATTAAAAATAAAAATCACCATCGAAGAATTAAATATTCTTTGATGTCTCTGTGTTCGGGAATGTGAGAATAAATTTTATACTCAGCTTTTACCAAAGAACTCTCACTTTGTGGCGTACAATCAAGCATGGTCACTTCACTGAACGTTAGAAGATTAACCTTATCAAATCTAGGTTAAGTCTTTATTTATCCTCGTTATCCTATAATCCTCACTTGCGACCACCTACTAAGCCATACAAATCCCACAACACATTCACAATAAGCTTTTTAACAGTAAGCCTTCACTTTAAGAGGCTTTCGAGCCTTGCACTGGATGAATTTTAATATAAAAAAATTAATTGTACATTTCTCAGTGAGGGACTCGTACTGTAACCTTAGGTTCAATTTGAATAACAACCTATTTTGAGATGCATACGTAAGCTAAGATAAATGAATAAACATATCAAATGCCTACACTTAACAAAGTGGGCAGAATTTTTTTTTTTTTTTTTTTTTTTAGTGGGGAGGGTCTCTCGATATAATATAAAACCTTAATGCGTGACTACTTCTACTCGGGCACGTTTGCCAGTGCAAGCAACTGTAATGTTAGCCCTAATTCTCAACGTTGGTGTAGTTCCTGTGTTCCGACATGTGGGAAGTAAACGTTAATGCATTTAAGTTCCTGCTATTGACGAGGTCCACCAGCGTCAAACAAACGGATATGTGAAAATCTACCCAGTCGATTACGAAGCTAACCAGGAGGTTCGCGCGCTCTGGGTGACCCAGCAGTTACCATGTCATCTGGCAAATCCCAGTAATTAAAGGGAAGGAGAATGATGAATGACAGATCAAGTTTAACACGAACACACACACACACACACACACACACACACACATTGCACCATTACATAAACACACACACACAGAAAGCAATCCACGATTTTTAAAAAATGAGTGTCATTAGTTCTGTTAATTTTTTATAGTATTTTTCGGGTAAAAAATTTCTTTTAGGTACTTAGGGAGTGTAGATACTGATTCGTCTAAGCTGCAAGTATTTTCAAAGATTTGGCTTGTGTTACCACCTACTAATTCATTCATATCACACGCCATTCATCGTAAGCATGTTAACAGTAAGCCTTCATGTCAACTGGCATTCTATCCTTACATTAGGTCAGTTTTAAAACAAAAATTAATAGTACAATTTTCAAGGATTTGGGCAGTGCAATTATAATTGTTTTGATTGAAAGTTATTTAAAGCCATTATATATATATATATATATATATATATATATATATATAATATATATATATATATAAATTTTAATAAATTTAATCAAAAACAATTATAATATATATATATATATAATGGCTTTAAATAACTTTCAATCAAAAACAATTATAATTGCACTGATAAATCCTGATAATAGGTATTCTGTGTAAAATTATGGTAGTTGAAGATTGCTATAATTTTTAATTTTTAATTATAAAATTATTGTTATTATATTAAAGCTGCCTGGTAATATGTGTTTATTCTCATGGTTACATATGGAAATTATATCTATTCATATTGGTTTAAGGTATTAAATATGCTGGGGGAGTAATAAAGATTGTAGTGGATTTATATGTTAATAGTGGGTGTGATGTGTAAGTGATGGTGCTGTATGTTGGTGGTAATGATAATATTATTAGTTAATAGTTATTGTAAAGTGGTAAAAGTGATTACTAATGGTGGTGCAATGATAATAATGATAGATGCAATTATTTTGATGGTATCTTGAAATTAAATTGTGATTGTTGGTGGTTTGTCTGTTTTATCTGTTTGGTATAAATATATATAAAAGGAAGAATGTGTGTGTCTGCGTAACGAATGCACAGCCGCAATTTTCGACGGATTTTCACCAAAATTTACATGTATATATATATATATATAGGTCTAGGAGAAGGAAACACTGAATTCAAA